AAACTGGTAAACTTTGAAAAAAATGAAACTTGTCTTCAAGTATGACTTTGACTTAAGTCTTTTCTAATAGGTAGAGCTAGTTCTGCAGGGCCATGTGAAGAGATGGTTGGAAGTGTCCTGCCACACTCGAAAACTCTGCCGAGTTCTTGGTTCTACCAGACTCCACCTGGCTGCTAATTGGAAGTCATTTGGCAAGTTAATGATAGTCACCACTAAGAAGATATCCTTTTTGTGGGCCATGTAAGCACCTCAACTTCGCCTCAAGTTGTTATCTAAATGTATTATGGGGCATTGATTAACCTCACTGGTGATGTTTAGCTATAATGTCTTCACCTCCTGGGACCTGGAAAATCACCTTGAAACAACTTAGAAGATTGAGTGATTAAGCCAGATCTAGTATCAAGGGTAATTAGTTATAGGTCATTTGGGTTTACTTTTTGAGAATGTAAATATTTGGAATTACTCCTACCTGTGTAGCCTATATTAGTATTCTTTTAGATTTGATACAGGGATGGGACTGCTGTAGGTTGACCTAAAGGTATCCCTATAAAAGATCCCTAGACTCTACAATCAAAACAGCATCATCTTTTATAAAGAGGTCTTAGGGAACACATGTACGTTTTTGTCTAACAAGGTGCCCTTGCTCCTAATGTCAGGCAAAGGGTTACTTGACCTATGTCAGACTAGGACTCAGATATCTTCAAGGCTACATGATTTCTGATGTTATAGGAAAGCAAGCTAGGAATTAATGCCACGGAATTCTGAGAGGGGTACATTTGGGAAAGAATAATCCAGAGCACAAATATGAACTGCACTGTGGATAAGAAGAAGAAGAACGAGGGGTCAGAGACAGAAAACATTATAGATTGAATGCCAGCTGACATTTTGAAGGAAAGGTGAAATTACCAAGAGGTGTATTAACAAGAGGGCTGTGAATTCAACAAGAGTTGAAAGATGATTCCTGATGGCCAGAGAAAGGTGTTTACTCTCAGGACCATGTTTTGAAGATAACAGAGAACTTGGAATGCATTCAAAGAAGGGTACAGGAGAAGAAAGAACGTCTATAAAGCTGTTTAAAAGAGGAAGGTTCTGGAAGGCCTACTGAAGAGAACATTTTCCAGTTTACTTTGAGAAAACACTATCTAGTGCCAGTGGATACTTTTGGAATTGCCCTGGAACAGTTAAGAAGGTAAAGGGGTTAGGGGGAGTGGGTAGTAGAATGAGTGCTGGGGTTCAAAGTCAGGTTCATTCCTACCCAGCTGAGCTGGTGCGGCCAAGCTACTTAACTTCTCCAAGCATTCAATTTCTCGAATTTAAAAACTGGGGATAATGTTTAACTCATAGAGTTGTTTTAAGTATGAGATTGAATATTGAGGGAAAGGGATGCCGTCTATGGTTCAGCACCTATGCTGGATTCATTAACCACTCAGTTTAAATCTTCACATATGCCCATAATTTTCATTTTATAAATGAAGAAACTGAGCCTGAGAGAGAGAGAGAGAGA